GCCGCTGGCCGGGCAGAGGGCTCCGCCGGGCGCGGGCTGGGTCCGGGCGCCGGGGTCCGGGCGAGCGCGTGGGGAGCGCTTTTCCTCTCGCTTTCTCTGAAGCGCCCGCCGCCACCCGAGGGGCTTTTCCTCTGGTCGAGGGTGGGGCTCCAGGCGAGTCCGAAGACACCGATCGGCCCCTCCTTGCTATTTTCTTGTCTTCATTTCTTTAAGAATTCAACAGGTGGGAACTCCCTCTCGCCGCCACCCTTTCACCTGCGCGGAGTGTTTCTCATCCACGGTCGCCACCTATAAGGCCCGTGTCCTCCCGCCCCGGTGTCCGCTTGGCAGGATTAACAGCTGGCCCTGCCCAGTGGAAGCCCTGACGGTGCGGAGACTCACTCCCAGCGCGGTCAGCCGGCCCCGCCCAGCCCACAGCCCTCTGGGCCTGCCGAGGCGCCTGCCCCCGGCCACTGAAGACCCACAGAAACCGCCTCGAGCTGCAGAGGTCGCCTGATTTGTCACCGCCGCCTGAGGCCCACCTACGGATGTCTGGACTCCAGGGAGACTGCCTTCACATTGTTTACCGAAACAGAATTCCGACAGACATCCAAATGCAGTTCAAGCTGCACCCTCAACTGGGGCAAACTATTCTTCAAAATCTTATTTTAAAAATGTCACAGTCAGTATGAAAATAATACAAGAAAACGGCCATCGCTTAAGAACATAATTAGATTGACAAAAGTAAAGAATGGGGGCTACGGTAAAATAACAAAAGCAAGAATGTGTTACTATGGAAACATGCATCCATTTAGGTGCAAGTGGGGCCACTGATTTTCCCCAAGAACCATCCTTATCAGGACGCCAACCACAGGCCTTCTTACAACTTCTCCCGCCTTCAGCTGCTTAGCATCTAGTGCAGAGTTTGCTCTGGCTTTTCTCTGCCGTCCAAACCAGAGTTCACCGTGAGACATGAAAAAGAATGGGGATGATTTACATTTTTACTTGAAGTGCACTTAAGCTGGATGAATTATAACAGCACGTAACTAGGAAGATTAAAATATAAAAGCTGGGTGCTTTCAGCCCTGCAAAAAGCAAGGACAAGGCCTTGTGACTCACCCTCTTGAATGAACCTCTTTTCAATGACTGACTTAACCCAGGCAAGTCTGACCACAAGGGAGAAACTTGTCTCTTCTGTTTTGTTTGGTTGAAATCTTCTCAGAGATGTCTGGAGAAAACCTACTTGAAAAGCCAACCGTGACACTTAATAGCATTTCAGTCCTTGAAAATATTTATGAGCCTAATACCATGATACACAGAGCCGGAGTGATTGTAGTACTCAAAACTAATGTCCAAGAGCACATGCGTGTCTTACATCAGGTGTATTAATTCCAGGCTCTGTTTTATTAACGAATGCCACATAATGAGTTGCTCTATTGTTTCCATGTCTATAAAATTACTGCTGAACTTTTGCTAATAAAAGAAGCCTGGCTCATGGTGATGAGACGAGTGTTGACATCCTTTGCTTCCATATTTTTAACTCTTAAGTTTTTCCAGCAGTGATTTTATAGACGCCCCTCATCCCGTTAATGATGACAGTATGATCTGTAGCATGAAGCTTTTCAGAAACAGAAGTGGGGTAGTTTCAAGCTCCAGAAGTCTATTCAGACTGTCATCATATCCTTTGACAATAGGACATTTCCAAACTCTTGTTTACCCTTCTGCTTCTCTTCCTCAGGGACGGCTCATGTTTTTCCTCATTCCAGAAAAGGGTGGAGGAGCGACTTGTTCGAAATCATCTTAGACATTCATTGTCATCTTTCATATGAGATGTTTGATTAGGGATATTAAAATGCTGATTTTTTACTTATTCATGATGAAAAGATTTTAAACAAAGGAATGAAATATAAACTACCTCCTCTAAGTAAATGTCCCAAATTCTTTGTATATTTAAATTAGGGTATTTGGTCACTGTAATGGATTCCTCTATAAAACAGATTGGAAACATCCGACATAAATTTAAAGAGACAATAAAATGTGGATGGACATCACCTTTGAAGAATATCTTTTGGCTGTAACTTTTGATTATAACTCCGCTGACATAAATGGATTTTCCACTTTGTTGTCGTAAAGACTAAAAATCAGGGAGCATCTCCCTTTGTGCCTCGAGCTGCTCAAGAAACCTCTCGGATCTCTTTATTTATATATTTGTTACATAAATAAAGTAATACTGAATTCCCTATGGTACTTTTTACCTCTTAACTTTAAACTACAGAGACTGTGTCTGATCTATTTATTCCAGATCATGGTTGACAACTGGTCTTCATTTCATAGATATCTTAGAAAGTCAGAGCCAGAGAGTTCTTAAACAGACAAACAGAAACGCAAGCTCCATGAGCCAAAGTTATCCAGCCTAGCTTCACTCTTTTCTAATTCCAGAAGTAGAAACTAAGACTATTAAAACAAAAAGAACCAAAAAAAAAAAGAATCTCACCACAGATGTGCAAATAAACAGCAGTTTCTGAACAGCAGGATTACCACCCATTCCCCACTGACAGAGGCTGGGAAAAGGACTCACATGGACAGTTGTCCTTTAGTGGGATCTACCTTGGCATGATGGATAACACAGAAGGAAATCCAAAAGCAAGGGACACACAAACTTAAAGGGGCAAAAACAATATTAAAGGACATTGGCTAGTTGAGGGGAGTACAGAGGGAAATACCTGCTAATCCCAATAAAGTTGACACAATTATTGCTTACTGGTAAAATAGGAGTTCCTAATCTGATATGAAACGTGCTATGCATGTGTTAGAACATATTTAAAATATGAAATGAGAATATCAAGAATTTCCAGTATTGTTTTCACACACTGGAACAAACAAATCCATTAATAGATTTTAACAGGGTGCTCAAGAGAGACTAGCATTGCTGTGGTTTGTGTCTAGATGTTCTCCCAAAGCCTCGTGGGGTCACAAGACATTTTTCTTCAGAGGTGGCGGAATCTAGAGTGTGCAGATTGATTCACAGTGCAATGCTGGGATTAGGGGTGCTGGGGTTAAGGGTGATGATTGCTGGTTCAATCCACTGATTGCATTGGCAACACCTTAATCCCAGGAGACTGGATACGGTGTAAAGGACAGAAAGAGGCTTATTTCCTCTTTCTTGTTGCTTTTGCTGATTTCTGCCACCATGAACTGTTGCCCCTCTGCCATGGGCTGCCCCGCCTTGGAGCTACCAGCGATAGACTGAAACCTCCACTACTGTGAGCTAAATAAACCTTTCCCCCTTTAACTTTGGGCATTGGGTGTTTGTCTCAGCAAGGAGAAAAATAACTAAGGCAGCCATATAATTGGGCATACAATATCTGATAAAAGTGGCAGTAGACACCACAAAGAAAATCAGACATCACTGAGCTGTGGCATTTACGTCAAACTTTCTGTTTAACAAGGGCGCTATGAACAAATTGAATATTGACAAATGATAGATTGGAAGAAGACATTTGTTATGACTGAAGACAGACAAGGAAAAAAGAATGTATAACATACAAGGAACTTGGATGTCAATAAGACCATAACAAAACCTCATTAAGAAAAATGGTAAAGAATATGACCCATCATTTTATAACAGAGAAATATCAAGACCTACAAAGTATACTTTAAGAAATCAGAGGTCATATTGAAATCATAACTTATCTTTTTATGTTTGATTTAATGACAAAAATGAAGAAGTGGACTAATAACAAATGTTGACAGAATATGGATATTTGAGGAGCCTGGTGCATTGCTGGTAGAATTATAAATTTGAGTAATTATTCAGGAGGATTCCTTACCGGGGCTTGTTAGTATAGGCTAAAGCCTAGCAATCCATTTCCTGGCTACAGAACACAAAGAAATTCTCACTGAGGTCTATTGTTTACCATATGGGACACTGGGAGCAGTGTGGGTTATCATCTTGGAGAAATATGTAGATAAAATACGATGGCACTATGCAAAGTTAGAATCAGGCTACATATGGCTGCCTAAGTGGATTTTTAAAACATAAAGTCCAGGGAAATAACCAAAATAGAATGTTTCTACATTCAAGGGGGAGGAAAAAGGAGACAAAAGATAATTCTACAAAAACAGCAGGTTTTCCAAAAATTATATAAAGAAAATAACACATTTGACAAATTCTTTAGTGAGAAATGAACATGAATACAGAGATTGGGAGGGGTTAACAAAGGGCAATAAACAATTATCTACTACAGTATGTTTGAATCTTCCTCATTTTAGAAAGTCGAGCGGGCAGAACGCAATAGTGTGTTTCTTTTTCTATCCTATATCTGCTTGCAAAGATTTATTTCTGTCTCGTAATCAGGAAATAATAATGCAAGGAACATTAACTAAACCAAGAGAGAAGAGATTGATGTTGTTTTAAGAAGAAGAAAAACTATAAACTTGACTGGTTGCTTAACAACTAGATATAACAAATGTGCAGCCTTGTTATTCAGTTTGTCCTGGGCAATCACCAGGTGAAACTGGGGTTTGACTGTGTATTCCAAGATACTACATTTAAAAGAAAAAGTTCTTAAAAGGAATGATAACCGCACAGATTCTGTTTCCAGTAACCCATTAACAACAGATGAAAATTCTAGTGGCCTATAATTAGAATAAAAACTAATAAGAATTCAAGCTGTAAATTGTGAAAACCAACCAAAAGAATCAATGTATTATAATGGTGAATTCACGGGTTCTGTTACGCATCTGAACAGCATTTTGAGAAAGACATCCACATTAAGAGTGGCTACAGGGCCTTTACTGGGCAACTATATTTTAATTATGAAAGGGAACTAACCCTAATATCCAGTGTCTGAAGTGCTAATCACCTAGAGGAAAGCAACAAAATTCTGCCTCCCAGCCAAAAGAGCAATGAATCAGTGGCCCAAACAGTATTGTCTAACCACTGTAGGCCAGTGAGGTTACTTTTCCTCCTGCACGGCCTTCAGAAAATACTACAATTTCAAATGAAATCAAAATAGCTATATTGAAATGCCAAGAAGATAAATAAATCAAAAATCCTAAAAATGTAGAACTGATGAAGAAATTAATGCCACTGATACTCTAGAACAGCACAATGTCTTGAAATTATTTTACTTAGGGATCTCTCTAAAATATTGAAACTTCCAAAATAACCAGCAGTACTACTATTGAGTTTACATTACCTGCACGATCTTCATTAGTCAACTTTATAACAAATTTTCAAATGCTGGAGAAAATTTGCTCTTCAGAGTTTCATGAATCAGATGTAATAATTTGGATCTAGAAATAAACGTGGTTGTGACACTGAAGAAGAAAAAGTGAAGAAGAACACAGAGTTCCGTGGCAGCAGGTCAGGAATATTGGATGAGACAGATGAAAGCCTGAGAAGAGACTTTGAGACAGCAGGTACTACTGTGCTTACAGGGTATTTGGGGTCATACAAGTGAAATATGGAGGAGAAAAATGAAATTATGTAACTCCATAGTCAGTATTTATTACTTGAAAAATTTAGAAGGGTGCCGGGCATG